TGTCTTTGAGTGAAGATTTAAGGTGATAGGAAATATAAATAACTGCAACTTGAAACTTTACTGAAGCTCAGTATTTGACACAGAGTTCAAGTTCACTGCTGTAAAAAATCTAATCTAATAATCTAATAATAAATATAATATTGGCCATATTACATTTACACTACCAAAGTGTAATGACTTTAGTCTGGTGAACAGCATTAGTTAATTAGGCAATGTGGGCAGCGCTACGAAGGCCAGACCGTTCCATTTCACAAGCCTCTCACTTTCGCCCTTCCTGCCCTTTGGAGTACCCGTCCCAAGTAGTCCACGAAGTGTGGATACTCCGAAGCGTGCGGTCCCTGAATTGGGACACAGCTAGTGTGTAAATTTGCCAAAACGATGTCGGACTCTGCAGTTTTCTCTGGTCCCCTACCCAATCAGAACAGGAGTGGGGTGTTTAGCCACATGTTCTCCTTAAATTCCTGGCTTTCTGAGTGGTGTCCAAAAAACCATGTGCGCTTTATAGATAATTGTGAAACTTTCTAGAGGAGACCTGGTCTTGTTAGGAGAGAGGGCATCCATCCCACTTTGGATGGAGCGGCTCTCATTTCTAGAAATCTGGCCAAATTTATTAAACCCCACAAAATGTGACTATTCAGATTTGAGACCAGGAAGCAGAGTTGCAGTCTTACACGCCTCTCTGCAGCTTCTTTACTCCTGTTATCCCCCCAAAACCCCATCTCCGTAGAGACTGTGTTAGCTCCCAAACAGGCAAAAACAAATTAAAAAACAGCAAAAAATGACTTAAACATAAAAAGTGACAAATAACAATACAGCATCCACATCTGAACCAAAGAGTAAAACAGTGAAATGTGGATTATTAAACATTAGGTCTCTCTCTTCCAAGTCTCTGTTAGTACATGACTTGACAATTGATCAACAAATTGACTCACTCTGCGTTATAGAAACCTGGTTACAGCTGGATGATTATGTTAGTTTAAATTAATCAACACCCCCGAGTCATACTAACAATCAGGAACCTCAAAGCACAGGTTGAGGAGGTGGTGTGGGAGCTATTTTTCACACCAGCCTATCAGTCAATCAAACACACAGACAGACTTTTAATTCATTTGAAACCCTGATGCTTAGCCTTGTCCACCCCAGCTGTAAAACTCAAAAAACAGTCTTATTCGTTATCATCTATTGTCAACCTGGGCCTTACACAGAGTTTCTGTCTCATTTCTCAGACTTTTTATCTGATTTAGTGCTCAGCTCAGATAAAATTATTATTGTGGGTGATTTTAACATTCATGTAGATGTTAAAATGACAGTTTCAACACAGCATTTAATCTGTTATTAGACTCAATTGGCTTCTCTCAAAATGTAAAAGAACCCACCCACCATTTTAATCACACTCTAGATCTTGTTTTAACATATGGCATAGAAACTGAACATTTGACAGTGTTTCCTGAAAACCCTCTCCTGTCTGATCATTTCCTGATAGCATTTACATTTACAATAATTGATTACACAGCAGTGGAGAGTAGACTTCATCACAGTAGATGTCTTTCTGAAAGCGCTGTAACTAAGTTTAAGAATCCACCCTCTGTTATCATCTTCAATGCCCTGTATCAACACAGAGCAGAGCAGCTACCTGAATGCTACTCCAACAGAGGTTGATTATGTTGTTAATAACTTTGTCTCCTCACTACGTACGACTCCTCAAATCAGAAGTATTAGACTCTGTGGTATAATTCTCAAACACATAGCCGAAAGCAGATAACTTGTAAGCTGGAGAGGAAATGGGGTCTCACAAATTTAGAAGACCACCATTTAGCCTGGAGAAATAGTTTGTTGCTTTATTTTTAAAAAAAAGCCCTCCGCAAAGTCAAAACATCTTACTATTCATCACTGATTGAAGAAAATAAAAACAACCCTAGGTTTCTCTTCAGCACTGTAGCCAGGCTGACAAAAAGTCAGTCACTGAAAACTAGTTCATGCATTTATTACTTCCACGCTGGAATACTGTAATTCATTATTATCAGGATGTCCTAAAAACTCCCTGAAAAGCCTTCAGCTAATCCAAAATGCTGCAGCAAGAGTCCTGACAGGGACTAGAAAGAGAGAGCATATTTCTCGTGTTTTGGCTTCCCTACATTGGCTCCCTGTTAAATCCAGAATTGAATTCAAAATCCTGCTCCTGACATACAAGGTCTTCAATAATCAGGCCCCATCTTATCTTAATGACCTTGTAGTACCTTATCACCCTATTAGAGCACTTCGCTCTCGCTCTGCAGGCCTACTTGTTGTTCCTAGAGTATTTAAAAGTAGAATGGGAGGGAGAGCCTTCAGTTTTCAGGCCCCTCTTCTATGGAACCAGCTTCCAGTTTGGATTCGGGAGACAGACACTATCTCTACTCTTAAGATTAGGCTTCAAACTTTCCTTTTTGCTAAAACATATAGTTAGGGCTGAACCAGGTGACCCTGAATCCTCCCTTAGTTATGCTGCAATAGGTGTAGACTGCTGGGGGTATCCCATGATGCATTGAGTATTTCCTTTTCAGTCACCTTTCTCACTCAACATGTGTTAATAGACCTCTCTGCATTGAATCACACTTGTTATTAATCTCTGGCTCTCTTCCACAGCATGTCTTTCATCCTGTCTTCCTTCTCTCACCCCAGCCGGTCGCAGCAGATGGCCGCCCCTCCCTGAGCCTGGTTCTGCTGGAGGTTTCATACAGGAGGTTTCATCCTGTTAAAAGGGAGTTTTTTATCCTCACTGTCACCAAAGTGCTTGCTCATAGGGGATCATATGATTCTTGTTTTTTTTTCTCTGTATGTATTATTGTAGGGTCTACCTTACAATATAAAGCACCTTGAGGAGACTGTTGTTGTGATTTGGCGCTATATAAATAAAATGAACTGAATTGAATTGAATTAGATTAAAATTAGGGAGGAATAATGGTTTGAGCAGAGAGTCAAGGACACCATTTATGTGAAAAGGGCAAGATCATCGGTGAATGGAGGAGGGGGCCTAAGGGTACAGCTTTCATCATCTTAAAATGCTGCGATTGTAGCTATTTCCCCAACTCTCCGTAAATGGTAGTCATGGCCATTGATCAGTGGTCATTGATCAGTGGTTTTGGATCAATGGTCATGCCAATTCGCATATTTAATGATCAAGAAACTGACCTCACAGCCCATTGTTTGTTCAGTGGGCAAATGTACTGTTTATTTCTACATAGCACTTTAATTCTTATTGTTTGCACTGAAGCACCGCAGCAATTTCCTAATGTTGTAAACCTTAACATCTGGCAATAAACCCCATTCTGATTCTGATTCTGATTCTGATTTATACGGTTAGGGAAACCTGCAGTCAGTTGAGAGTGATTTGGAGGAGTAGCTGTTATACTCTGAGCCCCTCATGGATGGTCACCTTCTGCCATGTGGCTATACCTTGAAATTCTGCCTTTAAATCTGATAAACAGAATTGGGGAAAAAGGCCAGCATTGGTGGGGTCCAAGATAGACCGGGAAAGAGTCCAACTTAATGCTGGCTATGTGGCCCAAGCTCTTGCAATGATTTTAAAGGGATTAAATGGCTTGTAGCAATGGACTTGAAACCCCAAACTCCCGAAGCACCTCCCACAGAACACTGAGGGGGACACAGTAGAATGCAGTCTCCAAGTCCACCAAACACATGTAGAATGGTCGGCCAAACTCCCATGCTCCCTTAAGTATTTTCAAGAGAGTAAAGAGCTGGTCCAGTTTTCCAAGATGGGTTAAAACTGCATTGTTCATCCTTTATCCAAGGTTTAAGTACTGAACTAACTCTCCTTTTCAGAAATCCGGCCTAGACCTAGAGAGGCTGAGGAGTGTGAGCCCCCTATAGTTGAAACACCCCTTCAGTACCCCTTCTTGAAGATGGGAGGCACCACTCCAATCTACCAGTCCAGAGGCATTGCCCCTGATCTCACCAGAACATTGCAGAGGCATGTTGAAGAAGACAATACTACAACATCCAAAGCCTTTTTCCATGGCCTCTCCAAAATCCTCCCACACCTAAGTTTTTGCTTAAGCCACTACTCGAGCCACATTCTGCTGGGCCTATAGGTACCTATCGGCTGCCTCTAAAATACCAGAGACAAATTCAGCCCAATCGGACTCCTTGTTCAATCTGATATTTCTCTTCACCTCTAGTGTCTACCTCCAGTGTCACTGCAGCAGGCTCAGCGATGGAGGTGCTGAACATGGTTTGGACTCAATGTACTGCAGCTCAAGCATTGTCCCAGTTGGTTGTGAACACACCCACATATTTTGCCCCATTAATTTACTGAGCCTGGACAAATTCATTCCCAGAATTAAGGGAATAGGTGGATAGGCAATAATTAAGTTGCAAACTAACCACAGCCTTCAATCTATGGTTGTCCCCATAGATTTGATTTTTACAAGTACCATGGGATATTTATGATGTCCCATGAATGCATTTCACATGCAGCCACTATAACTCCAAAAATTACCCCAGCTGACCTAGGGTTCAGTAAACCAGGGTCTGCATACAGCTTGAGACTGCCAAAATCCAGTATATACCCCCTTGTTATTTTACCAGTACGCTGTATATCCCTCCTGAATCAGGGGAAGGGGCTTCTATGGGATGCAGAGCACCTACGCAACCTCTAATAGTGGGCACTCATAGAGGAGGCTTCCCGACCAGCTGAAACTCCAGCACTCCTGCCTTGGAGCTGGCATGGCCCCCAGTAAGTTGGAAGCAGGGCCTGGAGCCACCAGGCAGAAGAACAGGGAGTAATGGAGCCTAAATTCCAGAATTTATATCACATTTCAGGCATTTGTAAATACTAGAATCAGTGAAAAAAGTGGCACTTCCACTCGATTGTAAGCCCAAGTTCTGAACATAACCTACTCCGAACCAGGTCATAGGTTTAGTATCAGTTGCCACGGTGATCGAGCCAGATAAAAAAAGAGCCACCTTAATGACACTCGAAATCATTTTAGCACAACATACCTCACTCAGACTAGACTAGGCTTCCACGGTCTCACCCGCAATCCTTTCCATTAATGCCCCCAAAACACTTACTTTTTGTAACTGATTCACAAATGCAAATAGATTTAAATTTAAAGGTAGCTGTTTATGCTATAATATAACTCAGATTTTAAATTTTCATCAGTGGAAAAGTCTGAACCCTGACCTGAGAGTTTGGAGTTTGCAGTATGGACTCTTCAGTCCATCAGACAGAAGCTTCACTCCCGGACTCTTCAGGTCATTGTTATTTAGATCCAGCTCTCTCAGAGCAGAAGATTGAGAACAGAGAACTGAGGACAGAGCTTCACAGCTTCTCTCTGAGAGGTTACAGTCACTCAGTCTGAAAAATAACCAGAAAAGGAAAAACAAATATGTTGGTGTGCAATGTAATTCAATCACCATAAATATAATAAATACACAATTAATAACAATTTAAGTCCAGAAAAAAATATAAAACTCCTTGAGTTTGCTGGGTAACAATATAATTTAATATCTAAACGGAAACCAATGAGGACCTGAAACATTTACTGGTATAACAAAATCTTCATTTTTCCACCAAATTTAAATCTTTCAAATATGCAGCTCTGTACTTGCTAGCACAGAACCGCATAGTACTGACTTTTGGTACTATTGGTCACTTTCCTAATACTAATACAGTTCAAAGTAATCATTATTAATCACATACTGAAAACTGATGTAGTTCCTTGTCTATTCCTCTAAGTGAAATGGAAGTATGCTACTCTAATTACTCTGGCTTTTGATGTATAAGCTGTGAAAACAAATTGAAACGTAATTTCCAAGTCTTGAATTTAAACATAATTTCAACAAAGATTACAGTAGGATGTACCTGTGTGTTAATATATTTATAATCTGCTTTGTGTGAAACTGTCCTTTAAACAGTGACCATTTAAAAAAACAGCATCCCTGCTGGAGTATAACATGCTTTCTACTGAAGCACTGAACCCAGGTTAGTTACAAACAAAGCAATGATTACAACATAAGAATATGTACAGTGCTGTTGAAAAGTATTTGCCCCTCTATCTTTATGTGAAGTACCAGCAAACTCCACAGAGAAATTTCCCGGTCAACTTGTAGATCCAAAGCCAGGATTTTGTTGTGCTGAGGCATTTAATGACTGCATTTTGCCCAAATGAAATATCCATTTTTTAAAATCAAGATTTTAGGGGAAAAATGCTTCCTAAACCCAATAACTGTCTCTGCTACCTTTTTCAGTGAGAATTGCAATCAGTCATGTAAATCCCGAGTGATTCACATTTTGGCACGGTGAAAAAAGTTACTTTGAGAAGTCTAAGGAGCTTGGAAAGAAAAGTGTCTTGACTTCTTTAAGTTGCTTGAAGAAGTTTCACCTCTCATCCGAGAAGCTTCTTAAGTTCTAGGGTCAAATCTCAGATTTAAGTCTGTGGGAGTGTCCCCCCAAGAGAGACAATAAACCCCCTAATGATACTCTAATGATACACATGAGGTGTGAAAACAGGTGAAGGTCATAATCAGCCAAGGTTTTGGGTGAGCTCATTGTGAAACCTATCATGTGATTTCCTGATGTCAAATGGCCCAGGATGTGAGTGGGTGTTAAGGCGTCAGGGTAGGGAACTTCCCAGACGGATCCAAAGAGTGTCCATTGTCCCTCTTGGGGGGACACTCCCACTGGGCTTAAATCTGGGACTCTCCACTATTTGACCCTAGAACTGAAGAAGCTTCTCGGATGAGAGATGAAACGTCTTCAAGCAACTTAATGAAGTCCAGACGCTTTTCTTTCCAAGCTCCTTAGACTACGATGACCTGGATGACTGAGAACCTTCACAGATGTTAGTTTGAGAAGTTATTGACTGCCTCCTCTTGTTAAATCGTGAATTACCTGTGATTAACCACACTTTTTTAAGCTGGAGTACAATTTCACTAGCCAAAATCAGGCTTGATTGCTGCTATATGTGTTGAATAATAAAACTGTTTGAATACATTTTCAAGAAAATGCCACTTTGCCATTATGAGGTATTGTGTATAGAATTTTGAAGTGAAAAATGAATTGAATGAATTTTCAAATATGGATGTAACATGACAAAACTGAAGGACTGAATACTTTTGAAACTATACTTACAAAGCTTTGTTGGAGGCTTTCACCACTGGCAGCAGCCTCAGAAGAGCCTCCTCTGAAGCAGAGTATTTCTTCAGATCAAACACATCCAGATCTTTTTCTGATGAGATTAAGATGAAGACCAGAGCTGACCACTGAGCAGGAGACAGTTTATCTGTGGAGAGACTTCCTGATCTCAACGACTGTTGAATCTCCTCCACTAGAGAATGATCATTCAGTTCATTCAGACAGTGGAACAGATTGATGCTTTTCTCTGCAGACAGATTCTCACTGAGCTTCTCCTTGATGTACTGGACAGTTTCCTGATTGGTCTGTGAGCTACCTTCTGTCTGTGTCAACAGACCACGTAGGAGAGTCTGACTGTTCTGCAGTGAAACACCCAGGAGGAAGCGGAGGAACAAGTCCAGGTGTCCATTTGGGCTCTCTAAGGCCTTATTTACAGCACTGTGGTAGAAGTGCTTCCTAACAGATCCCTTTGTTTCAGACTTCTGAGGGGTTGCTTCTTCTTCCTCAAGCAGACTGACTCCAGAGTCGATGAAGGTCAGATGGACATGAAGAGCAGCCAGAAACTCCTGAACACTCAGATGGATGAAGCAGTACACCTTGTCCTGGTACAGTCCTCTCTCCTCTTTAAAGATCTGTGTGAACACTCCTGAGTACACTGAGGCTGCTTTGATATCGATGCCACATTCTGTCAGGTCAAATTCATAGAAGATCAGGTTTCCTTTCTGCAGCTGTTTAAAAGCCAGTTTTCCCAGAGACTCAATCATCTTTCTGCTCTCTGGACTCCAATGTGGATCTGTCTCAGCTCCTCCATCATACTTGACCTTCTTCACTTTGGCCTGGACCACCAGGAAGTGGATGTACATCTCAGTCAGGTTCTTGGGCAGCTCTCCTCCCTCTCTGGTTCTCAGCACATCCTCCAGAACTGTAGCAGTGATCCAGCAGAAGACTGGGATGTGACACATGATGTGGAGGCTTCGTGATGTCTTGATGTGGGAGACGATCCTGTTGCCATGCCTCTCATCTCTGAATCTTTTTCTGAAGTACTCCTCCTTCTGTGGGTCAGTGAAACCTCTGACCTCTGTTACCATGTCAACACATTTAGGTGGGATCTGATTGGCTGCTGCAGGTCGTGTGGTTATCCAGAGGTGCGCAGAAGGAAGGAGGTTCCCCCTGACGAGGTTTATCAACACCACATCCAGTGAAGTGGATTTTCTAGGATCAGTTAGGATTTTAGTGTTGTAGAAGTCCAGAGGAAGTCGACACTCATCCAGACCATCAAAGATGAACACAACCTGGAAGTCTTCAAAGCTGCAGATTCCTGCTTCTTTGGTTTCAGTAAAAAAGTGATGAACAAGTTCCACCAAACTGAACTTTTCCTCTTTAAGCACATTCAGCTCTCTGAAAGTGAATGGAAATATGAACTGGATGTCCTCGTTGGCTTTGTCTTCAGCCCAATCCAGACTGAACTTCTGTGTTAAGACTGTTTTCCCAATGCCAGCCACTCCCTTTGTCAGCACTGTTCTGACTGGTTCATCTCTTACAGGTGAGGCTTTAAAGATGTCTTCTTGTCTGATTATTGTTTCTGGTCTGTCTGTTTTCCTGGATGCTGTTTCAATCTGCCTGATCTCATGTTCTTTATTGACCTCATCAGTCCCTCCCTCTGTGATGTAGAGCTCTGTGTAGATTTGATTCAGAAGGGTTGGGTTTCCTGCTTTGGCGATCCCCTCAAACACACACTGGAACTTCTTCTTCAGCTTAGATTTAAGTTCACGCTGACAAGCAGCAGCAAGATATTCTGAATATATTGAAATTATTATCAGTTCCATCAAGTCCATATGACAATTTTTAGTACATGTTGGTCAATCTCAAAAGACATTCATAAATGATAAATTTCACTAGCAGCTTAAATCTTAATAAAAATCCTCTTACTGCTCTGTAGATGGTCAGCCAGCTCCTCTTCCTTCATTCTCCTCAGTGAGTTCAATGTGATCCTCACCAATGCCTCTTTGCTGCTCCACTTCTGCTCATCTTCATCCAGTTTCTGTCTCTCAAAGCATTCTGGGTAATCTGGACTAAGAACGGTCTTGATCTTCTTCAGCTCATTCTTCACAAAAGTGATGATGTCATCCTCCAGGATCTGGAACAGAATACTTTATGAATGACCCAATCAGTTAAAGTTTGTGTTGTGTATATTCCCCTTTTGGGGTTCTTTTTAAATGTAAAGACAAAACCTGGTTTTACATCATCCACTGACAACATCCACTTTTGTTAGGTTCTTATAGGTTATTCTAGTCTTTAAAAAAAGAACAGAACCCTGGGGTGTATACTTCCAGACCACAAAATTAAATCCCATACAAGTGCCATAGATCATTAGATGGGAGTTACTATAATGAATGCGGCTGTTGATTGTACTTCACTCAGGACTGCTAGTAAGGTGTATCATGTAGAGGATGTGGGGTAGGCATTCATACAGTAGTAGTGAGTGCTGGGTGAATCCCTCCACCACCAACTTAAATCAGTTTCTGTTAACCTATAGTGATAATACCCCTAGGATCCTTTAAATGGAGAGCCAGTCGAGATTTCTGTAGAGAAATGGGATCTTAACGTGTACAAACCATAAATATGGACTCCAGGTGTGTCTGCTGGGCAGACTGACCACTGAGAACCTCTGAGCTTTCCTTGTCCACTCTGTGGGGGAATCATGAAGTATTAGTTAAAGCACGAAGTAACAATCCAGTTAGTCATTGTTTGACTCTCAGATTAGCTGGGCTAGTTATAAATGATCACATGTCCAGTTACTGCCACTGAAAATTAAAAGCTCAGTTTAGTGTTTTAATTTTAATATCATCCTCTTCTGGGCATCAGTCCTCAGAGAACCTCTGCAGTGATGCATGATAATTAGCCACCCTTCGGAGGAAGCCCATTTCCACTACTTGTATCCACAATCTTTCATTGACTACCCACAGCTCGTGACCATAGGTGAGGGCAGGGACCTAGATCAACCAGTAAATTGAGAGCTTCACTTTTACACTCAGCTTTCTTTTCACCACGATGGACCAGTACAGCAGCCGCAGCACCAATCCGTCTGTTGATCTCCTGCTCACTTCTGCCATCACTCATGAGCAAGGCCCCAAGATAATTGAACTCCTCCACTTGGGACAGGAACTCGTTCCAAATCTGAGGCCCATGGCCTCAGATTTAGTGAAGGTTACAATGATCTTCTTATAGCCTCTGACAGTGGACTCATCTCTGTGCTTGTCCTGCTAGACCTCAGTGCAGCATTCAATACTGTCGACCATAATATTCTATTAGAAAGATCAGAGCATGCATATTACGGGTACTGCGTGCAGTGGTTTGTATCATATCTATCTAGTAGACTCCAATTTGTTCATGTAAATGGAGAGTCCTCTTCACACACTGAGGTTAATTATGGAGTTCCACAGGGTTTAATGCTAGGACCAATTCTGTTTACATTATACATGCTTCCCCTCGGCAGTATCATCAGAAGACATAGCATAGAGGAGAGGAGCGAATAGACGCATCAGAGGAGCAGGTGAGTAAGTGACGGAAGTGACGGACAAGGTAAGCGACTCATGTTGTAACT